CGATGAAGGGGACACGGGTTCGTGCCCCCATCCAGGAAGATCCCACATGCCGCGGAGTGGCTGGGCCCGTGAGCCATGGCTGCTGAGCCTGCACGTCCGGAGCCTCGGAGCCTGTGCTGCGCAATGGGAGAGGCCACAACAGTGAAAGGCCCACGTACCAAAAAAAAAAAAAAAAAAAAAAAAAGGTAGAAAAAGCCTTGCAACAGGAGGCCAGTCTGACCCAAGAATATTACCAGTTTGACAAATTTTTGTTCATCTTTTGAAATTCCTTCTCTCTCTCTGTGGCTGAGAGGGAAGAGAACAGTTACATAAAACAGAGAAACAAGCACAGTAAACTTTCATCAGAAGCAAAAGAAGTTTGCTGAATAGAAGTTAACAGAAGTTGAAATGGCAAGTAGGATAGGCACTATGTCCTATTTATTTATTTACCTCTTTGGTATCTAACAGAATGCCCAGCACCTACTAGATAAGAAACAAATACATGAGTGAATTCACCCAATAATGAGTGAATGAACAAATAAATGTCAGGAGAAAAGGGAAGGCTGCAGACTATTTAGCAAGTGAGACCCTTTCATTAAGTATTTGATTTTTACTTGAGAAAGGGGCCCAGATTCAGGGTCAGGAAAGGGAGCACTCGTGACGGGTACTACTTAAGGGGCAGGATGATGTCAGCATAATTACTGGAGAAGAGTAAGTAACAGGGATTCCACAACCACCTATGGCTGGCCAATGTTTTTTGCTGCCACATTTTCCCCTAAATTTATTGACTCTGATTTGGCATAATGGTGATACCACGTTTGCAGCATGCTGAGGTAACCATGACCCACTCCATTCCAAGAAAGCCAACGTTGGAGCTCACGAGTTGCTGTATCACCTGCTATTATAGGAAACTGTAACTGGTGTCAAGTGCAGAAAGGGAAGTTACCTCAGATCTGTTTGGACATAACATGAGTATTATCAGTAGGGCCCTGGAGAAAAAACAGCACATCCAAATAAGGTTTTCAAGAGAGAATTTAATGAAGGAATAATCTTCAAAAGTATAGGCAGGGTTTAGGGAAAGCAGCAGGGGATGGTGGAATACTCCCACACCAGCAACATGAGAAAGTCATTATCATCTCTAGGCCTAAAGGGACAAGTAAAGGGTTACCAGAACCCAGAAAGATCTGTAACTGTAGCTGGCTGGCACAGAAGGCCACTGAATAGAAGCTGTGACCTACTCACAAAACATAGAACAGCTCTGGCAACACAAATCCAGCAGGAGTAAACTGGCTCTTCCAGGCCTCCTGCTCTTGTCCCATTGGTCCAGGCCAACCAGAAACCAAAAAGCAAGAGCAGGGTGGAGAAAAGATCTGAAGGGGCAAAAGGAGAATATACAATACAGAAGGATATTCCAAATGACCGCCACCCAGCAAAACACAGGCACATAAAAAGCCTTTGCCAGTTCCACCCAAATCTTCTAGGCATCATGAGAACCTGCAAAAAAGTTATAAACACAGGTGCTTATTTGGGTTCCCACTGCCCTATATCAAGTTGAGGAAGAAAAAAAAAAGATTCTAAGAGTAGTCCTAGGTAATTTTTGTCATTTCTGCATCTCTAAGAATAAACAGACAACCCTTTTATCTATAATGGATCACATCTAGAGCAACTCTCTTCTTTGTACTCAAAGGCCATCTATTCCATACCTTCATTATTACACTTATCATGATGTGTTGTGACTCTTGTTTGTTTCTCCCTCATTAGACTCTGAACTCCTTTAGGGCACAGATTGTCTTATTCATCTTTGTATCCCTAGCATTTAACATGAACTTGGAACAGAATTAGCCTTCAATCAATGTGCACTGAATCAATTAGTGGACTCAGTGTCCATTAACTGGCAGCCTAATGCCAGGGTGCATAAAATCTAGAATGACCCTCAGCAATTAAACACTAATAAGTTTTATTCAGGACATGGTTTAAAACATTGAGCAAAAACACAGCTTTCATACCAGCCCACTACCATTCTCTATAGAACAGCTTTTCTTGTGTGCTCAGATGGTATTTATGGCCTTTTCTACAATCATAGAACTCATTATCAAAAGAGCCAGAGAAAGATGGCAAGACCATGCTCCATCTCAGAAAGGAATCAAATATACATCATCTCTCAAAATTCTCACTCTTCTTCCAAGAATTGACCAGACCCACTAAAGGAACTAATAATCTGGGTATATTATATGGAGGAACTCACGTTTCCCAGCGGTGATAACACTGATTTGGGGTAGAAACACGTATACACATGTGCGCGCATGCACAACCCACACACACACCCACAAGCATGTTTAACTATCACTTCAACAGACGTCACCTTCTGTAATATTATAAAGTAGCCATGTAACACAATCACGTAACATCAGCATATCAAATGGATACACTATATGATGTTGGGTGACCATTAACAGAACCTGGAACATATTCACATCATAATTATGAATCACTTTTACATAACCCTGTACTTATGAAGTGCTTAATCATCTTTTTGTTGCTATAGTCAAATCTCACCTGTAGTTCTCCAAAGAAAAAGAAAAAAGTTAATGCCAAGTTGATAACCCTCTTTGAGCTACCACGATTTTAGGCCGCCAATCTCCTGCTGTCAGTAAGATGGATGAAAACCAAATTTAAAATTTGGTTTAAAGTGGACCCTTAGACTCCACTAGAAAGGTGAGTTTGCTATAAAAATATATTATCTCCAAAAGCTCAGCATGAAAATGCTTTGTATCTCTAGCATCACTATTCTCCTTCACTGCTGCTTGTAATGGAGTGTTGATACTGTTAAATCTAATGTCATCATATATACCAAATTAAAATAACACTTCACTTTCTATTTAGGAATAGGGAATTCTGGGCTTATCTTGACAATACACTGAATTACTTTAAAACTCTAGTAACACAAGAACAGATAAAATGTGTTTCAAATAGATCGGTATAAGTATCTGATACTGATACTAAATGCATAAGTCCCCAAAACAAGCTTTTTCCAAAACCATCAAAGATACTTAAAATCATAAACACAATTTTATCTTTTTTGAGAGCTGTCATAAATTCTGCAACTGTTAGGCCCATGTAGCAATAAAATTACCCTTACCTCTATAGGACAATTATGTGATGTTTCCATCATATTGAAAATATAGACTGCAAGAACCTACAATTTATAAAGTTGTACTGCATATAGGTTCCTCCATTATATATGAATTAAAACAAAACAAAACATAGATTTACCATATGGCTTTCTGTTTAATAACACTGAGCTACCTAAGAGCAGTATTATGTTTCATCTATCCTGGTTCAGTGTTTGGCCCAAAGAGAAAACATGACGTTTGTTTCATAAATTACCAACTCCCACAAGGTAGGAAAAGGGGAAGTTTATGTATAATTCTGACAATACACAATATGTGGCAATGACAGAATAATATCCAATATATTAGAATTATCAAAGTTACTTATGACTAAACATTTTTCTCTCCCTTCACTATAATGTAAATGAAGTTTAACAAACCTCCACTAACATTCAGTACAAGTTAAAATACATTTTTAAATATAACATCTTTACCAAGGTAAGTTTTTCACTGAAAATAAATTTGAATATATTTAATGTAATTATGAATATGTCCAGACATCTGAAAGGATCACTTGTGCTTCTATAAAAATAGTGTTCCAAAATCGTGTTTCCCTTTCCTGAACTGAATTCCTAAAATTCACTGTGGAGCTATACAGTAAGTGTCTTCGTAAACAATAAAGATGTTTCATAAATAAAAAAGATTTTTCCTCAAAAAACAGGTAACAGAATTTGTAAAACTTCGGCAAGACTGCGAGCACCTAAATGGTCAGGTTTGAGGCAAGAGACTGGAATACTGGATTAAAACCGGGGAAAATTTCCTATCACTGAAAAGCCATTATGCAGACCTGCATCTAGGATGCTAAAGTCACAGCTCTCCAACCAACGCTGAGAACTTGCCAATACCATTACTTCGATACTCAACCATAAGTAGGACTACCCAAACACAGAGCAGGTTTTCTTGTTGTCGTTTTTTCCATAACATATAAATAGTTCAAAGATACTGCCTTACACAATACATACTGAAAAGGTGAAAATCTCTCCTCCCAACGCCTATCCCTTAGCCAAATGACTTCTATTCTTTCTCGTCAAAATAAAAGAACAACTGGCAACCAGAAGACCCACAACTGAACTCTTCTGTCAGAAAGACAACGCCAAATTTGCTGCAGCCAAAGAAATGTCTAGTGCTCCTTCTGGGCTCTCACAGGAGATGGAAAGCTACACAATGGCAAGGTCTGTGCAGAGAAGGACACAGCAGGTCTGGGGCACACCATCCCCACTCCAGCCCCCAAAAAGCAAGGTTCTTCAAACCTATAGGCAGAAACCTGGCATCATCACACCCACTTACAGCCTGACAATTTACAAGCTGGTAACACCTTCTAATTAGGAGAGTTCTAATCTTTAATAGACGGAAATGTAAACGGCTTCCCACAAATAAGATAAACCTGGCACTGGCGCCAGTTACTGAGAACCCCCAACGCATCAAACCTCCCGTTTCGCTACTGAGCCTGATGAGCCAGTGACCAGGCTTCCCTACAGCCGAGAGGGGAAGAGCCCACCCTCCGGGCTGGGAGTGGAAGGGGAAACAGAGGACAGGAGAGCAAGGGATGGAGCGCAGAGGCGTGAACAGCGTCCAAGCAGGGTGGGCTCAGCGCACCGCTGGGCGACAAACGGCAGCGGCCACGCGGGAGCCGGGGTGCGGGCTGCGAAGCGGGGTCCCCGGGCTGCGGAAACCGCCCCCAGCGTCTCGCCCGGCACGGCTCGCGCGTCAGGCACACACACCCCCCCACCCCACGCCCGTCCGCGGCTCTCGCCGAGTCCCCTCCCAGCGGACACACACCCGCAACCCACCAGTTCAACCACACCCCGGGCTCGCGCGCACACGCCCCTCCGGCCGGCGGCGCGTACGTACCCAGCAACACGCAGAGCACATCAAGGGCCACGTACGGCAGCCGCGTCTTGTCAAACATGGTCTCGGCGCGGGCGGCAGACGAGGCACCCGATTCACGAGACCGGGCCGGGGACTGGCGACGGCTCCTCCCAGCCGGGGTAGAGCAGCCGAGGGCTGACGGGGACCCTGCGGCGTTCTGATGGGCAGCAATGGCGCCCGCGACCCCTTCCCTCACAGCTCCCGCAACCACTCAGTCGGGGCCGAGAGGCTCGTGTGCCAGCCGCGGTGGGTCCGTTGCCTCAGGCCCTCCTCGGTCGGCCGTGGCCCGCCCCGGCCGCTCGCTGTCCGGAGCCAGACGCCGTCTCCAACAGGCGGGGCGTCCGGGCTCGTGCTTTAAGGATGGGGACCGGTAGGGAGGAGGAACACGGGCTCGGCCCCTCCCGCGGGGCAGCGCGAGACCCGCCTGCGCGCGGCCTCGCGGGCTGGGGGAGCGGGGCAGAGGCGGGGCGGCCAGTGAGGGGTGACGGGGCGGGGCCGGGGAAACACCAGGCTGGGGCGCGCCAGCCAATCGGCGCCTCTGGCCCCGCCCCGCCCGACCTGCGCAGCCCGCCCCTCAAGTGGGCCGCGCGGCGGACGGGCGGAGCGTGGGGTCACCTCCCGTGTGGTGCGAGGGGTGTTGCTCAGATCCATTTTCAGCCAGTGGTCGCCCAACCTGGCCTCCGCATCCCTGGCCGCCGGTCATTGCTGATTCGGGGGGAGAGCTGGACTCTCGACCCTGGCTGCCTGCCAGCTCTCCTCATGGGGATTGGGTAATAAAGAGGAACGGGGTAGTCAGTGACAAAGACTCTCTCCCTATCCAAACTTTAGCCAGGCTCCTCCGAGCCCTCTACTCGCCTGGGCCTCCATTGAGGTCTTCGAATCTGGCAGGGCAGAGCCCCGTATTAGCGTGAATTCTGCTAAGTCATCCCTGTACCCTTGGTATCTGGTTACTTTTCATATGTGATCAAATTCCTTTATACGTAAGTCCTTTAATATATAAGTCCTTGGCCTGCCTTTAATCAGGAATCCCCCTACCCTTAATGTTTTCTCTTAATTTTCCATCCACTAACCCGCTCACTCTGCTTGTCTGTTGGCTGTAATAAACTCCCAGATGTCTTTGCTGTATTCGGAGTTGAGCACAATTGCTTTCTCCTGTTGCAAGTTATGACCCCCTATTGCAATAGTTTGGAATAAAGTCTTCCTCACCACTTTAACAAGTGTCAGAATGAGTTTTCTTTATTCCTCTCACTGCTGATTCCAGGAGGACCCTAGCAACATTTAGTAATCTCAGTTTCCTAACCTCTAAAATTGGGATGTTGATAATCCCTGCTCTGTGTTCTAGTCAAGAAGTGATAAAGCCCAGAAAAAATACACATGAAAGTGTTTTCTAAAAGCTTAAACCCTCTACAGATGTTAACCATTGGTATCTCTCCTCCTCATTCATAAGACGTGAGACAAATTGAAAACTGTTACCTAGTACTTCTGACTTTGCCTGCAAAACAGTCATAAAATGAGTGGAGAGATACTATCACCCTCAGGGAATCTGAAGATCTTGCCCCAAGTGATCCCCCAACAAGCAAAAAAATGTATTTGAAGAAGCATGTTTTTCTTTAAAAAGAATGTGAACATTGGATTTCACCTTTTGTTTGAATATCTTCTGAAAGCTTTAAACACTTTACACCTGAGAAGGATGTGCCATTGTTTATTCTCTGACTTCCCTTACTTCCAGAGTTACAGGGACCCCAAATTGCAAGGCCACAGTGAATTGAACTTACTTGTGGTATGTAAGTATTTGGCATGTGTTGATTAGGTGAATATCGTGATAGAAGTGTGTTGGTGTATAGGAGGCACGCAAGGGGACAGGGTGTTCATCTGGGAGCTCTGGAGACTTCACAGGAAGGTGAGAGTTACATTGTTCTTTCCTGTCTCTCCCACACCAACAGCCATTTTCTTAGGTGAGAAGCTAGTAAAGGAGACAGTTAATATATTAAGACATGTTTTCCCTTTGGAGGAGTTACAAATAATAGCTTTAAAAATAGATCAACAGAGAATTAATTCCCTGGCGGTCCAGTGGTTAGGACTCCATGCTTTTTTTTTTTTTTTTTTTTAGTAATCCAATCCCATGCAATTTTATTTATTCTGGGCTCCTGCAAGAGGGGCTATTTTATTTATTTTTTTTTTAAGATTTTTAGAAATTTCATGTAATGTCTGAAACATTTATATTAACATATTTCCATACAAATAACCCAAAGAAAGTTTAGTATTAGTTGTTTTTTGTTTGTTTTTTTATACTGCAAGTTCTTATTAGTCATCAATTTTATAACGTCAGTGTATACATGTCAATCCCAATCGCCCAATTCAGCACACCACCATCCCCACCCCACTGTGGTTTTTCCCTCTTGGTGTCCATACGTCTGTTCTCTACATCTGTGTCTCAACTTCTGCCCTGCAAACCAGCTCATCTGTACCATTTTTCTAGGTTCCAGATACATGCGTTAATACATGATATTTGTTTTTCTCTTTCTGACTTACTTCACTCTGTATGACAGTCTCTAGATCCATCCACGTCTCAATAAATGACTCAATTTCGTTCCTTTTTATGGCTGAGCAATATTAGGACTCCGTGCTTTTACTGCCAAGGGTCTGGGTTTGATCCCTGGTTGAGGAACTAAGATCCCACAAGTCGATGAGCATGGCAAAAAAAAAAAAAGATCAACAAAGCAAAGTCCATTAAAATGCATTGTCATGCCCTGTGATTTTAAATGGGATCTGTGCTATGTGCAGATTATAAGCAGTAAGTCTTCAGTTGAGAGAATGATTAAGAAATGTCATTTTGTTTTGAGGTGGGAGGTTTTGTTAGTTTTTGGAGACTGTTGTTTATTTGTTTTGGTTTATTATCATGATTGGGTTCTAGTGTGATCACTAGAATTGAGAATGAGTTAAATAACCTTGAAATGATGGTGAAAATAATAAAAAGGAAACACCGATTATATAGTGACACCATTAACACCCCCTTGGGGGTAGGTACTAGTGTGTCCCTGGATAGGACATGAAACCTTAGAGATTTTCTTAAATGCCTAGCAAAGTTGTGCTGGGGTCTGTATTTTTGTCTCTGTAATACAGCCATCAAATACAAAAGCAAAAAGAGTGGGCTTGGGAAGAATAGTCTCGAAGAATCTCTGAAGAAGAGAGAAACTAATTTCCTCTCTTCTTTTATTACTAAGCATTTTGAAAAGGAGACTGTAATCTACAACCTCCCTTTTAATTTCTCCTTAAATACTTGTGTAGTCTCACTTTTGTCCCCATTCCTCTACTGGCACTGTTCTTTAACATAGTGTTATCGGTACGTCTCCATCTCTGTTCCAACAGCGCTTACTACTTTTTATTTTATAAAGTTTCTGCACAGTAATAAGAATAAATCCCTTTAGAGCATTTGTGTTTGTATGTGCTTATCTCCTTTCTCCCCACCTGGACTGAAGCAAAAAAGTGTTTATTATACTCAAAAAGCATTGTAAAACTAAAACAATTAAAAATGTAAGTGTCTGGGGCTTCCCTGGTGGCGCAGTGGTTGAGAGTCCGCCTGCCGATGCAGGGGACACGGGTTCGTGCCCCGGTCTGGGAAGATCCCACGTGCCGCGGAGCGGCTGGGCCCGTGAGCCATGGCCGCTGAGCCTGCGCTCCGCAGCGGGAGAGGCCACAGCAGTGAGAGGCCCGCGTACCGCAAAAAAAAAAAAAAAAAGAAAAAAAAAAAAAATGTAAGTGTCTGGTTCCCTAGTACATGTGTCTCCACCCCCCCAAAATTTCACAATATGATATAGTCCTTTTTGTACTTATTGTCAAAGCTATTTATTACCTTACTAAAGTTTTTTATTATGTAACATTTGATACATAAATATATATATAACATATAAGTAAGTTATGAAGCATAATAATAGACCACTGGGAATCCACTACTCAACTTAATACCTAGAGCATTGTGGTATCATTGAATCTACCTGTGTGTTCAATCCCTTTCTTGCTCCCTGCCTCAGAAGTAACCACTATCCTGAATTTTGTGTTTATCTTTTCCTTGCTTTGTTTTTTCAAAAACACATGACCACACGTGTATGTATTTCTGAAAATATATATTGTTTAGCCTTCTTGTATTGTATCTTTTAAAAACATTATGCCATATATGTAGTCTTCTGCCCTTGATTTTTTTCACTCATTTCTTACACCCATTCATGTTGCTGCAATCATTGCAGGTGTATCATATAAATGTATCATTTTATTCATTCTTCTGACAATGACCATCTGGGTTATTTCCATTCTTGCTATTACAAATAATGCTGCTGTGAACATTCATGTACATGTCTCCTGTGTGGAATCGCTAGCTGTGGAACTGCTGCCTCATGGGGTATGCAAAAATCCAATTTCACTGGAAAACCCCAGATTGGATTGCTAAGCGGTTATACCATTTTACTCCACCCCCGCCAGTGGTAGATAAGACTCCACATTTACAGCAACACTTAATATTTTGAGATTTCTTAATTTGGGGTAATTTAATAGATATAGTCTATATTTCAACATAGTCTTAATTTGCATTTCCCTGATCACTAATGTGGTTGGGCATCTTTTCCTAAATTTATTCACCAAAAATGTTTCCTCTTCTGTCAATTGCCTACTCACATTTTTGCCTGTTTTTCTATTAGGTTGTTTATCTTATTTTTATCAAACTATAAAGTTCTTTTTATATTCTCAGTAGCAATTCTTTGTGTTGTAAATTTTCCTTCCAATATGTGGCTTGTCATTTCACTTCCTTTATAAGCAGCTATGTGACAGAGTTATTGTAAATGTAATGTAAGCAGAAGTCTACTGGCAGATTTCTGTGAAAGTTTTTACTTTCGTGACCAAAGGAAAAGGCTGGTTTTGCTTCCCTCCACTTTCTACCTTCCTTGAACATGGACATGATATTTAGAGTTACAGCAGCCACCTTGTGATCATGAGGGAATGGTCAAGAAGAGGAACATCACTGGTCTTTTTAATCTTGAGCTACTAAAACAACCAGCAACTTGGCTACCTCCAGATTTCTTCTAATGTGAGGGAAAAAAATTGCTTAAGTCTCAAATATTCACAACTGATACAAGGCTCAAGAGTACTTTGATTACTATTTCTGAGAAATCACATATCATACTACTCTTAAGAAGACCTTTTACTTGAGCTAATTTAATTGAATTTCTGGTCCTTGAAACCACAAAGCCCTGAATAAAACAACTTTTGTATCTAGAATGGATGTTGAAGAATGGTTTGAGCATAGAGGCAAAACAAGTGACATATTCTGGGGTCTTTGAGTAGGAAAGGCTGTGAAACAAGAAACTCACACTGAGGACTAGTAGAAGATAAGGTTCTAGAAGGTAGGTTATAGCACTTTGTAGCTTTAAAGCGTGTCT